CTTAAATAGCCTAATTTTTTATGTTTTTCATGGATTCAAAACAGAGTTAATTATTTCTCGGTTAGAGCAGGATGAATATTATTCTGCAATGAAGGAAATAATATTGGTTTTTGCAAATACACATCACAGTATCAACGCTACTATTTTGTTACATTTTGTTCCAAAAATGTTGGATGTCTCTGGGGAGTTGCATGCTTGTTATGTCTTATCGAGTTGTATGGTTTGATTGTGTTTCATTCTCAGTTTATTCTGAACTTAGAAAGATTAAGAAAAGGCAAAAGAGTTTGAGTGATTTTAACAATATTTCAGAACGTTGCAAAAGTTAGAAGAGCTTCACAATTCGATTGTGACAGCATGCCCTAATTCAGAACTATACGAACGATCCATGACAATCCTTCGCGATGCAGTGGTCTCTTGAAATAAGCCGGAAACGTATTCGTGCTAGGAACACACACGGATTTCGGACGAATAAATCTTGCTTGTATTTTGTAGATAATAATAATTTGTTTCATAATAAACAATTTGTCAAGTGTCATTTATTTACTGGCAATAGTGCATGTTTCAGTCGGGCAATTCTTGATTAATATTTGATACGCCGTTTTTTGCATATTTCAGACACATCCAGAAATATGCTTCCGATTTTAAACATTGATATCTCCGTGAATTTTTAAGTGAAATACAACTGTAATATATCAAAATCTAAGTTAGTCCTTCCCCTATTTGATGCAAGTTATTTAACTTTAAAAGCTTTACTTGTTTAGAAGTTATTACGAATCAAAGCGGAGTACTTTTTTTTGGGACACCCGGTAGTTCCTGTATCTTCGGCAAAAATCCTAGGCACTTATATTTCCACAGACGTGAAATGGAACACACACATAAACTATATTGTATCCAAGGCTTCTAAGCGCCTATATTTTTTACACATATTAAAACGGGCTGGACTTGATCATACATCCCTTTTAACCGTCTATACCACTTGCATAAGATCAGTCCTCGAATACGGTTGCCAATTATGGAACTTTGGTGTTTCCCAATACCTTTCTGATGACGTCGAGCGGGTCCAAAAGCGAGCACTAAGAATAATTTATCCTGACCTATCTTACAGGAAGGCTTGGAAGTTATTCCGCTTTCAAGTCTTTCACAAAGACGAGATGAACTTTGCAGATCACACTTTAAAAGAATGACTAAACCAAGTCATAAATTGTACGATCTTCGCCCTGACAAACGTACTAACAATCTTAGAAATAACGACAATTTTACACACATTTGGTCTTGTACCAACCGTTTTAAAATAGTTATATACCAAGTAGTGTACTATATAATATATAATCATATCTTAATTATTAGTCTTTAACTTGTAATTTTATAAACTGTATTTTTAAAACATTAATGTAAACCAAGCAATTCAGCTTTGTAGCTGCAAATCGGTTTTTTGTATAATAATAATAATAATAATAATAATAATAATAATAATAATAATAATAATAATAATAATAATAATAATAATAATAATAATAATAATAATAATAATAATAATAATAATAATAATAATAATAATAATAATCACGAGATTTCGTACCGGGGTCAATCTGCCCAAAATCGACCATTTTATAGGATTTATCTCTGATCCAACCTTTGTTCAAGAGGTTGCCTACGGGACGAGGAAGCTGAAACTGTCTTCAGGTGAAAAAATAGAAATGCCAAACGTGGTCAGAAATATATTCACATCAAGAATACCCAAGCAATACACAGCATATTGTAAAGAAACTGGTTTTGACAACCTCAGCGCAAGGGAACTCTACAGAGTTTTGAAGTTTTGCCCAGCAAAGCAGAAGCAAGCGTTGCAAGGTCTCGACAATACAAGTGCCGATGGCTTGCGAAGCATTGAACGCTTGGAGGACATTGCAATGAAACTTGGTGAAAGGGAAATATCGCTGGAATGGGTAAGAAATGTTATCCATGGTCTTACAAACCTCAAACGATATTTGAAATCGACTTACCGACTTCACATTTCGAGCGAATCAGAATGAGCAGATCATTGCGCTGTTTATGCACTGAGTGATGCGGACAATAACGAATATTCTCAAAGATGTGACCATACACATTATGCGTCATGCAGTGATTGTGATCGATTTGAACAATTGTTTGATGTGATAAAAACGTCTTTTGCTGACCAATCTGTCGTTCGCCATGGTGAGGACGAAAAGAACGACGTGCTTCATGATGTACATATCTCGTTTGAAGCCATTCTTGCTTGGAAATATCACCTATTGCGAGCTGTCCATCAGGATAAAGCCAGGGAGCAAGCGCTCGAACAATGGTTGTCAGATTCTACAAAGGTTTTGATCACTCATGACTTCGCAATGAAGTTTTTGCCTCGACGTTTTAAGGAAACCCAGGTGGGATGGTTTGGTAAACGAGGTATAACCTGGCATATTTCTTATTGTGTCCGCAAAATCCTGGAAGCAGAAAATCAGTTTGAAATAACTGTGTATTCACACATCTTTCACCAAACTGTAAGTCAGAATAGTGACCTAATTGTTGCCTTGATGTGTCATACTTTACAAGAACAGAAGGCCGAGCAACCAGAACTAAAGGACGCCTATTATCGTAGCGACAGCGCAGGATCGTATGCATCAAGTGATGTTCTTATTCCAATTAAACCTATGGAAACTCTCACAGGAGTGTCTGTAAGGCGATAAGATTTTTCTGAGCCACAAGCTGGAAAGGCGCCATGTGATAGGAGTTCTGCTCATCAGAAATCCCATGTGACTAGATATCTTAATGAGGATAATGACGTCATGACTGCTCTAGACATCAAAGAGCACTTAAGTCAAACAATGGCGTGAAAGTCGTTGTGCCGTATGTTGTAGAAGGCGTGCCTGTTTCCAGCACAAAGGTCCAGAAAATAACTGGAATCAGCTTGTTACATAACTTCGAATATGATTCCAACGGACTGCGAGTTTGGAAGGCCTTTGACATAGGAAAGGAAAAGTTGCTGAAGTGGAATGAATTTGACAAAAGCAGTCAATGCTATCGTCAAGAACTCTCAGTTGTTGAAGGAGGTGATAAAGACCAGGCGTACGGATTTGCTGCTGCATGTAAAAAGGCCCAAACACACGATGTTCATGATCAGGAGGACAATGAAGGAATCGGGGATAGTACAATGGATGAGTCAGCAATGTTTCATTGTCCTGAATCAGGGTGTGTAAAGCAATATGTTACTTGGGGAAGACTACAAAGACACATCGTGACAGAAAAGCGTACATTACAACCAAAAAATGAGCCTGTGGAGGATATTGTGAAGCGAAAGTGGACGGGTTTGTTTACAAGAACTGTTTCGGTAGATCATGCTATCATTGGAGTTCAACTTTCTGCAGTTCAACTTATCGAAGGGAAGAATTTACCTCAGGGATGGGCTTTAAAGAAATCGAAGAAATCCAACAGGTTTCCCATTAATTTAAAGTCAAGCAGTATTTGATCGAGAAGTTTCAAGTCGGTGAGACAACTGGCAATAAAGTCAATCCTCTTCAGGTTTCAGTAGACATAAGGTGTGCAAGAAACGAGGATGGTAAACGCATGTTTTCAGCGTCCGAATGTCTGTCAGCACAACAAATATGGGGCGCATTTTCAAGAATGGCAGCAGCAAAACGGAAAGGGGTTCTTGATCCATCCTCAGTAAGCGACAACGACATCCAAGACATTCTCGATGTTATGGAAGCTGAATATTACGAGTACAACAGAAGTTAAATTTGCAAAGAGGCCATCCAAGAAGCCATTGAATCTTACCCCGTCATATATGACCGTTACGATCTCTGTGATTTGAACAGACAAGGAAAGCTTCAGTCAAAGTTTAGTTTAGTGATGTTGAGGAGAATCTGTGCACATTTTGAACTTGATGCTACTAACTGTTCAAAAACAAGAAAAAGAGATATGTTGCAACTCATCCACGCTGTGTTGGCAAGCTGTTCCTGTCAAGTGAACTAGACTTGTTCGGGTGTCAGATGAAAACATGCGTCTGAAAAAGCTACAGAGTGCACAGAATTTCGCTGCACGCATTGTGACGGGAACTCGTAAATACGATTACATTACTCCCGTATTGAAAGACCTTAAGTGGCTACCCGTTAAATTACAACTTTATTATCGAGACGCGATCCTGGCGTACAAATGTATGAATAGCCACGCTCCATCTTACTTGTCTAGTCAGTTTATTAAACGATGTGACGTGAGTAAGCGGACCACCAGAAGCTCACAGTTGCTGAATATTCCACTGTTTAAGACCGCTAGTGGCCAAAGATCCTTTTATTACCGTACAGTAAGCTTATGGAACTCATTAGAAACTTCTTTAAAATTAAGTGACTCTGTACATATTTTTAAGCAAAAAATGAAAACTCCATTACTAAATCAGTTTATACTATCTTAGGACTAGTATTTCGTTTTGTACATAATTAGTTTATTACTTATTGTAAATGATCACTGAAAAGCCTCCTTGCGGAGTGTTCATTAAGTAATATTTCAAATCCGAGTTAGTGTTTTAGACTTGGTTTCTAAATACAAGTGCCATGAACAATGGCGAGGCGCAGCCGAGCCATTGTTCATGGCACTGGGGATTTGGAAGCCAAGTTTAAAACACTAACGAGGATTTGAAATTGCTTCTCACACATCATTAGACTTTCATAGCAATGAG